TTCGACCGAAATTGGAACCTAACAATTTGTGTGCTGAATACGTTCCGAGTGTCGTGAACTCGCTACGCAGGGGTTGGGACTTACTTCCTTCATGTACTCGCATGGCATCCCGCCAGCGACTACGGCCCTGTCTCTCCCGCTTCTCATCCAGTCAACACGAGAGGTACAACAAGCCACCGACGTACCACCGACGTACTACCGACGTACCACCGACGTACTACCGACGTACCACCGACGTACCACCGACGTACTAGCGACGTACTACCGACGTACCACCGACGTACTGACCCTTGACTCGATTTCTTTGTTTTCCGGCCAAGAGACATTGCGGTCCGACAACCCGGACATCCGTGCAGGCCGACACTTGGGGCGCGTCACCCCCTCGCGAACTACGTGGCCGACGTGAACGTGGCGGTTGCGACCATCCAACCCGGAGACTTCCCACAACTCAGGGAAACGCTCAACCGACGACGCTACGTGAGGCTATCCAGAGACCATTTCACGCAAATTCCTGGAGCGGTGCATTTTTGGCGTGGCGTCTCCGCAGTGGAGGACCTGGTCTGTAAACATGGGCGTCCTGCAGACGATAACCGACCACTACAACTGGCAAGGGACGCCGGTGCTGGCCGCCGCCGCGACGGGGGAGAGGGCCCAAGAGCAACTAGAAGACGACATCGACGGACCTACTACTCACGGTAAGCCTCACCAGAATGGCCCTGTGCGCCAAAAGGGGATACGTCGACGAGTTACGACCATCCGCCCCGAAGTACAGGGAGGAGGAGCTAGGACACTCGCGGCGGAGACGAACCACGCGAAGCAGAAACGGCTCTTTGAGCAAAACACACTGGACATGGACGGCGAGCACCGCGAGCGGCTGTGGGAGCTCCTGGAGTTCAATGACACGCGGGAAGACCCCAAGGTGGCGCAGGCCAAGTACGAAGCACGGTTCGAGGTCTCAGGACGCCCGCACAAGGCCAGACTCCGCCACTACGAACCCGAAATGCTGGAGGAGTTGAAGAAGCAGGTCGCGAAGCAACTGGAGCTGGGAGTCATCCGACCCTCCAAGAGCGAGTGGGCTGCCGCTCCTCGCTTTGCAAAGAAGAAGACCTGAGAATGGAGATGCGTCATCGACTACCGCAGGCTCAACGCTCAACGATGCGTCGGCGGGTAGTTCAAGCGAGCGAATGGTTCAAGGATGAAGTGAAGTACCTCGGGCGCGTCGTCGGCCGGACGGGCATAAAGGTCCAGGAGAAGAAGTCTCGAGCAATCGTCAACGCACCGGCCCCCACCAGCAAGGAGCTACAAAGCTTCTTGGGGATGTGCGGCTATATGAGGCCCTTCATCCCTCAAGTTCTCACACATCACGGCGCCGCTGTTCG